TCCTCCTTCGCCTCCCAAAGTTAAAGGATTAGAGGTGTGAGCCACCACACTGGGCTATGGGCACATACAGGCAGGCAGACAGGATGGAGTGGATTATGGGCAGAATGTTTTAAGTGGGCCACACTCACCACCCTTGCACCTACCTACCCTGGCAAGATTATTTACCTGGAAGAAGCCAAATTGTATCTTCTATGACCAAAAGCTGCCATGTTCTTGCTTTAGGAAATGGAGTTAAGGACGAGTAGTAGGGGGAGTTGACTTCACTTTTCTTTGTAGCATGATACGCGTTTTTAAACCATTTGTGATCTAAGGCCTCTCTTGGGCTCATGCTCAAGATTGCAGTAACAGTATGTCTGTGCCTACCACCCAGGTAACTACCCATGTCCCTTCCTCATGAAGGTTAGATACTTAATCTGGGGAACAAGGAAGAACATTTTTGCCTAGTGTGCGTGTCAGGGCCAATCTGTTGTGTTTAGAAAACAGCTATACCCATAGCCCAGATCTCCTCAACAGGTCTACACTGAGTTTTCTGACCCCTGCCCGAGCCACACCCTACTTCCTGTCTTTGAAGAGGATCTCTCATACCTCATCTTTTCCTCGTACTTAATTTTCCTTGATACTCTCCATTGGGAAGCCTCTTCTAGGAGAATCAGTCCTATTAACCACATTTTCAGATCTTCCTTGTGTGTTGACTTCTTTCCCTGTCTCCTTCCCTGCCATTTGTCAGAGATGTTCACATCTGCAAATCCCCACCGGAGCCAGAAGGAGCGTGATAGTATTATGGTCCCTGCCTTTCAGATGAAGACATTTTGAGACTGAGACTAATTAGGTGACTTGTCTACAGTCTCACAAGTAGTGAAGGCTTTTCAGTCCCATTCTTCTTCCCCAAAGCTTATTTTCTTTGCACTATCTCCCTGTCCCTGCCTTTCTACTTGGGAGATGGCTACAGTTAACCTTTTCTTTGGTCAGTGTTATAATAGAAATATCCACAACACCTTGCCCAGTGATGATCATATCAGTGGTGGCTCATAGTTGTTGAGTGTTGGCTTTGAGCCAAGGCCCAGGCTGAGGCAAGAGGTTTTACTCCAGTGAACCCATTCAGTCTTCACAGCAACCATGAAACATTCACATAATTTTTCCCTTTCAGGG